GAATGGAGACAGCAGCTTGGGCCTGTTGTTGTTGTTGTTGTTGTTGCTGCTGCTGCTGCTGCTGCTGCTGCTGCTGCTGCTGCTGCTGTTGTTGTTGTTGAAGAGCTTGCATCTGGTAAAAAAATAAAAAATTAACACAACTTAACCTTCATTTTAATCATTTTTTCCAATTACAGTGTTGCATTTGGCAGATTTTACAATTCAATTTCAATTTATTGTACACTATGTACAGAATTTTAAAATTTACATCTGTGTTATAAAATAAAGATGGAAAAAGAAACAAATGTTGCATATGGCTATGGAGAAAATTAAAAACAATATCTGTACGGTAACCAGAGTAGCCATTGGCTTTCATGCTAGTTACCACCATGTTAAAATAGATGAGCAGAACAAAAACATATTACTGAAAATAAATTACTGAAAATACATTACTGAAAATAAAATACTGCAAACACATTACTGAAAATACATTCATTTACAGTCACACACAAGTTCAATTGTCCTAGGTTCATGGCTAAAACACTAGCATTCTTTTTTCATACTATGCAGCTGTTTAACTACATGCAAGAGATACATGTATGTTAACAGCACTGTGTTGGAGAGAGTCTCCAAAGAGATGTTGCCACCCATTTTCAGCATGATTTTAAGACGCTCACAATCATAACTCAGGGCTCAAAAAATGGGTTGTCCTGTCGCCTGGGACAAGTAGGTTTTCCTGCCACGCAATTTAGTTTTCATTCTCACCTGCCCGATGGGCAAGGACCAGGTAACTCATCTGCCAACCAGATTATGTTAAAAGGGAGCAAAATTTGAGGGCTGCTATATGAGGAAACTGGAATTCAAGCTTTTGAGCCCTAATAACTTCCCGGTAATACACTTGGAAATACATGTATAACAGGAAAAGTTGTGATGGTTTTACTTTGTACAGCAGTACTTGATAATATCTATTCCACATGCTAACATCAGTACCTGTTGTTGGGCCTGTTGCTGTGCTTGTTGCCATGGTGCTGAGTTGATTGACTGCTGAACAATTGCTTGCTGCACTAGATGTGCTTGAGGGTTTGTACCAAATTGTGCTGCTGCTTGTTGTACCAGTTGTTGCTGGTTTTGCCGATGCTGCTGAGTTTGTTGCTGAGCTAATAATAGAGCAAGAGAAAAATATTATGTATTTTTTTTAGGTGATTAATTAGGTTGCTTTGTATTCATTCCCATTGGGATAATCAGGCCTTTATATACCACTCCTTGTGAATATCACACCACTTGACGCCAACCAGTTTACTCGAGGCTGTTTTTTCCTTATTGTTTATATTGTTGTTTAAAATAGCGTGTGACATTTTTGCATATTCTCTGACTTGTAACCTGTATTCAGCGTGTCTCAGATTCTTGTAAATAAACTCGATCATTGCTAGTGGCTCCCTCCACTATTTGTTGTATTGCTTGTCTCCTCCACTTATAATAGAAATGTTTTCTATTTGGCTGAGCGAAGTGAAATACAGTAGAAAAGCTGTTTCAAGCAGTATACAGGAAGAGTCACATTTAAGCCTACTCATGTGGCCTTGTTCCCATGAGTCTTCTGAAGCCAATTTCTGACTAAGTACAAATCCATCTAGTACATTTTACAAATTGAGTAACCATTACTAAGTTTAATCTCAGTGTGGCACACTATCTTGAAACAGCACAATGACCCTGAACAATGCCCGCACTCAAATTGTTCAGTCCACAGTCTGACACTCTTATCTATAGGGGAAATTTATGGGAAATTCATTCGAAAATTGTGGACTACCTCTAGAGGTACTACTATTTTACTGTTGAGAAAAAGTTGGAAATTTCTTCACCATCAGCTCGTTTCACCATTTTGAGTCCCTCATCAGTGGTGAATATTAACCAGAAACCAACTTTTTAAAAGTGCAGGTGGCATTTGTTCCAGTTTGCAGAATAAGAAAAACCCTATAGACCATTATTTCTCCAGTTTGCATTATCCCATAATGGGAGAATATCCAACCAGCAATAATCTCTTTAAAAGAGCTAACAAATATTTCTAGAGATAACCAATAAAGGCCTTACCAATTTCAAATGAAACTTTCCATCTATAGTAGTTGTAGAATTCCCCACTAAACAAAAATGCAAACTTTGGATTTCCTTTCTGTTTCTCCTTGGTCATCTCCTCAAATTTGCTGCCATTTCTGGCAACAAAGTTTGCAAGCTTGTCAATGATATTCTTCTGATCTTGATCTAGATTCAAATAGATTAATATTAAATCAGTCAACAATCAGTCTTGTTTAATTTGGGTAAAACTTGTAACAGTCATATTCATAGCCCTGAAATGCCAAAATCAAATGGAATTTAGAAGTTTTGGCCTAGTCCAGTGGATAAGCGTTAACAAAACAATCCATGCTATCCACCGCTGATTAGTGATTTATCTGGCCCACGTTGTGTAATAGGTGGATAACACTAGCTACCCAATAAATCACTATCAAGATTATAGTGTGGTTTGTTTAGTTAACACTAATCCACTGGATAATGATTTATCTGGTGGATAGAGTTATCCAGCCTTGAAACAACTGGGACCTGGTGGAGAGCATTATCCAGGTTTCAAATATCCTGGGCCTAGATTTTAAGTAGGGAGGTAAGCTGCTGAACTAAAAGAAAAACCCTTGTACCAATAAAAGAAACAAAGACAAATTCAATCTACATGATTTCATGTTAGAATCAAACATAGGCCACATTAGCAGGAGGCAAGTAGTTAACTAGTATTCAGCTATTCCTGCTCCCTTGAGATCAAAGTATCAAAAAAAGTTGAATTTTTTTGAAATTACCTTTTATTCAAAATAAAATTAAAAAAAGCCCCACATTTAATGGGACACAGTGACAGAGTAGGAAGCCAGTTTGAATTTTGTCTGAAATTAAAATGATGATTGACACTACACCTCAGGGGTTTCATAAAGGGCCAGGCACCATGCAAATTGGCCTGCTGTGAGGACATGGTGATGCACTGTCGAGACAGAGAAAAAGGGCTTGGGCCACAGCTGGAGCTCCATCCAAAAGCTGGCTGGAGACAGACAGCTGTGGAAGTCCTTTGCTGCTGCCCTGTATACCAGTGGGTGTAATAGGAACTGAACTACCAGGCAAATTGGCCTGCTGTGAGGATGATTTTGCCCGCTTCATTTGACCATCAAGAGGAAAGGTTTTTTCTGTTTGCCCTGCCTGTGTAAACCAGTTGCCTTCCTGGTGAAAACATTAGGCTGATTTAGCAAGAGAACGGAAACATCACTTGACAACGGCGTGCGCAGTACAAATACCCAAATATGGTCAAATTAGAACAGAATCCAGGTTTTTCCATGCGTCCTGCAGTCGTCATCTGACATTCCTGTCCTGTTGCTAAATCAGCCTATTAATGAACCCCTGACACCTTAAAAGAAAATGGATTCGTCCAGTTTCATTGAACCTTTAACTCTCTCTCGCCACTGTTTTCATGAGTCAAGAGGGTCACCAGACTTGATTAATATCTAACACAGCTAACAGCTTTGAATGTTTGCCTAGCTTTGAATATGATTGGCTAGCAGGGGCCATCCCAAGATTTTGGGAATCAAAGGATGGGGTTATTCTGATTCATATAATCTCAGGCTCTTTCAACGTTTAAACCGTTAGCCGTGCGAGACAAGAAATGTAACACAGTACTTGTACTTTACCTTCAGGTGGAGGAAATGGAGGGGTTTGAGAAACACCAGACATCGTGCAATGTTGTAAACAACTTCCAAAGAAGTACGACTTGCACGGCTCTACCACGAAAGAACACCTTGAAATTCTACATATAATCCTTCTTTAAATACCTTTTCATATAAATAACACATTAATCTCTTGATATACGGTTTAGGTGAACATTTTTAGCGCTTCTTTGACACAAAACCCAAACCTCTTGTCAACTCGTGCAAGCCGCCATGATAATCGCACCCAGTCCCCGAGAGCAGCAATGTTCAAACGCATGCGCAAGTGGATTGCGAAATTTAAAACAAACCGCTGGTCTAGTCTATAAAGTCAGTAATTTTCATCAACTTGCATCATTTTGTGAGGCAGAAATTTGGCAAACAACTGTTTGAAATGGCCCTTCAACGTACTCTTCGACGTATGGTATCTCCGGCAAATAATATGCTTCTTTTCTGTCGTGCTCAAAGTACAGGAAGTGCCGCGATCGGTATCCTTTTTCTACGAAAAATACCTTTGTGAATTTTTGTTATGCAACTTATTCATGTGAGCTTGTACAGTGGAACCTCTCCTTACGGACAGCAAAAAAAGAGACATCTATACTATGGACGGCTTACTTGATCCCAGAGAAACCAGAATTGATTCAATCGCTACCTCTACAATACGCACACCTCCATGATACGGACACTTTGCTGTCCATATTGTGAAAGAGGTTCCTCTGTACGTGCGGGTACACATGTCTTACATGACCTATCAACTGTGCGAGCACTTACTTTGTGAAGTGTTAGCCACAAAGATAGATCATTCATGTTATAGTGACTGAAATACTATTTTCCTTAACTCACAAAATGATAGCGAAAGAAGCAAGCAGGGAGAAGAAAAAAGAAAACTTCGGTAAGTAGTCAGCTTGAGAGGAATTTGGGGCGAGAATTTTGGGGGCGGCAACTGGGCGTGAAAGGGGGTAAATATAAAATTTATTTTTGCACTGAATGACTTCTAGAGGTATTTAGAAAATAGCCCAAAGAAAATATGCAAACTGATTCATTTAAAATCATGTTTCTATAACTTGATAGAAACACAGAACTAGCATGAGCTGTTTATTTTGTTAACAAGGGCAAACTACTACGCTACTCACCATCAGTAACAGAATAGATAGTGAGTAGTGTAGCCAATCAGAGAATGGCATTCGCGATACAATGGTAGTAGATTAATACTAAAACTTGATAGAAACGTGGTACAAGTTTTCTATATCTAAATAATTAAAACACATTTTTTTTCTAATCCTTAGTTCGATTTAACTGGCAAGATCCTCTCAGCTTGGAGAGTTGTCTGACCAATGAAGAAATCATGGTCAGGGATCAGTTTAGAGATTACTGCCAAGAAAAGCTCATGTCTAGGGTTTTGATGGCAAACAGACATGAAGGTAAGCTATATAAAGCCTTCTGTGGACTTACTTCTGTCTATAATGTCTGAGTTTCTTGAGATATGATATTCGAACTTTGTCAATCATAACTTCACCCATCAAGCCTGTGACATCAGATTTACAATGTTGTGGTACCGACTTCATTTTTTCTCAGTGTGAGACTTCACAATCTTGGTAAATAAGCAATTTAATGTAGATTCAGTTGTATTCTTGCATATCTGAAGCATAGAAATGACTACCCAGATGAAATTTTCACCCTGTTTTCCCTGTAGTAGTAAATAATGAAGGGCCTGTGCTAATACTGTGGAATGGTGGATGGGGACATGTTATTCTTGACTAGGAAACTTACTTATTCACTGCCTTGTATGCCCATCAGAGCTAGAAACAGTTAGTTTGGCAAGGTTATCAGTGGTGTGAGAAGAGATCATTATTATCCGATCTGCCACCACGTTCTCAGAAGAACCATTAAAAGGAATGCAGAGATTGAATTAATATTTTGAGCAGAAATATGGTGTGGAGTGAAAAGGGTTACCAGTGACAATGTTTAACTCTGGTAAAGGATTGAAAGATTGGTTTTGAACTATGTAATAGTGTCGTGCTATATAGTTATAATATATAGCTGAGTCTTTTAAATTTTGTTTTTCTTTTATCTACAGTCTTTGATCAGGAGATTATGACTGAGATGGGATCTCTTGGAGTTCTTGGTTGCACAATTCAAGGCTAGTATAGTGTAATTTATTAATAAGAAATGACAATACATATTTGGAGAACATTTTTCCCTGCCATAACTGTATGATAGTTTTGAACAAAAATCTTGCTTTTAACTTTGGTTTTCTGTTATCTTTTTGTTAGGTTATGGATGTGCAGGTGTCTCATCAGTAGCTTATGGACTTATCGCAAGAGAATGTGAAAGGTTTGTAATAAATTAATGTTCTGCTTTATTTCTACTCTGCCAAGGAATATAAATTGGTAGTGCTTTTAAATTGTTGGAGAAGCCTGACAGAATGCTGGAAGTAACCAGTCAGAGTTTTACTTGATTCCTGTCCAGTGGGAGTACCAACACTCCTAGCTGCTTTATGCCACAGAAACTGGAGTTGAGTGCCAAGACCTGTGAGTCAATTGGGCTTTAAAGACTTGTCTACTTTTTCACTATCTGAAATATGGGAGTTTGAATGAGCCTGTGAGGGTTTTATGTAGTACAAAGTGACAAATAGTAACCAATTATAGCCTGTGTTCAAATCCCCACTTTTATCGCTACCACTCCTTTCTAAATCCAAAACAGCCACCATTACTGAATTTACACCTCTGTACAATCCTTAAAATGATTGACTTTGTATAATTTTAACAATGTTATTGTGCTAACGATGTCACCAGGGTGGACAGCAGTTATCGGTCAGCTATGAGTGTCCAGTCATCTTTAGTGATGCACCCAATCAATACTTTTGGAAGTGAGGAACAGAAAGAGAAATATCTGCCAAAGCTTGGTAAAGAACATATTAAGTTGAATTTTGTATGTATCTGACATCTATTTTGGGTATACAATAAATGATAGCATTTGAAGGTAAGGAAAAATTTGTAGATTGTGCACTGAAGATTCTGAAGCAGAACTCAAGGGGTCATCCATTTGAGTATTAAAGTCATTAATTAAAGTAATATTATTATAATTAGCATGATTTTGAAAACACCAAAATAGTAAAGGTAACATGATTTTCTCAAAACAGTTTTTTCTCTTAGGGTCACTTAGACGAGTGTTTAGTTATCGAAAAGTGGGTATGGTGGAGGAGGGAATGGCATGTTCCACACTAATTTCTTGTCCCATTCCCCTTTAGGCTAAAGCATCTTGCCTCATAATCCCTGCTGGATTTTGAAAGAAAACCAGACTGTCAGCAGGCCAATCGAAAGTGCAAATTGATTGATTGATCTTCTTTTGCTATACTTTTGACTCTACAGCACAAGGCAAGCTGATTGGCTGCTTTGGGTTGACTGAACCCAATCATGGCAGTGACCCAGGTGGAATGGAAACAAGAGCCAAGCACAATCCAGCTGGAAACAGTTTTATTCTAAATGGAAATAAGAGCTGGTGAGATTAATGACTAAAACGTTTTCTTGTCAGTAGTAATCAGCTGTGTTGCATGTCATGGTATTTTGACATATCAATGTACATGTAGATGTGAACAAATGCTTGTGAGAACATGATTTAAAGTATAGAGAATAAAGGAAAACTTTCAAAACAGTGGCAAATCGTACAGAAATTTCTGGAAAAGTTTCCAGAAAAATATGTTTAAATTGCTTAATTTTTGTAATGTGAACCATTGAACCAAGACTTCCAGAAATTCTGTGAAAAAATATAATGGAAAGGAAATTCCCAAGTGATAATATAAATGAAATATGTTTTTGATCTATCTGTTTCTAGGATCACAAACTCCCCAATAGCTGATGTGTTTATTGTTTGGGCAAACTGTGAAGACAAAAGGATTAGAGGTTTTATCTTGGAGAAGGTTTGTTATATAATTTTACACTTAACATATATGGTCTCCAGTCTGTGAATGTTCTGGAAACCAGTTAATGTACTTTTATGTCATATAATCTTTGAAGTTTAAACCAGAGAGATTGTTAAAAACCTTTGTCAAAGATCCTCCCTTATTTGCACAATATCATCTTAACCAGTGTTAGACAAACACACAACATTCTTGTTTTTGAGGACATGATGAAGGTTCATCTTTTGATCTTTGTTACTCGTGGTGAGAGCCATTTTTCATTGCCAAGTTTCTAGTGTAAACCACAACTTCCTGCTTTGAGATTTATTGCTTCTTTGAGTGAACTAACCTGGCTGTAGTTCAGATTAGAATTGCACCTGCCAAGAGAATTAAGTTCAGTCATGGTCTCTGTTGTTGTTTGTTTTCAAAAGGGAATGAAGGGACTCTCTGCTCCTAAGATTGAAGGGAAATTTTCTTTGAGGGCTTCAACTACAGGCCAAATTGTCATGGAGGATGTTGAGGTTCCAGAGGAAAACCTTCTGCCAAATATTGATGGACTGGAGGTAACATATAATAAATGTGCTTTATTACCTACATAAAGTGGAAAGGTTATATTTTTATATGTGGAAGTAATGTTTCTCAGCCAAAAAAATTCTGTTTGGACTAATAAACTAAGGACCACAATGGAAACTAACTTTGTGTAAGCTCTGGACAACTGTGATCATTACATGTGGTGTACAAAATTGTCTTTAAATCTAAGGGATATTCATAGTAACAGTAGATACAAAGGTGGCATAGCTCATTTGGAGCATTTGTCCTTTATTTTAATGGCGTTTTTCTTATTGACCAGGGACCCTTCAGTTGCCTAAATAATGCTAGGTATGGCATTGCTTGGGGAGCTCTTGGTGCTGCAGAGTTTTGTCTTGCTACTGCCAGACAGTACACCTTAGACAGGTCAGTAAATAATAATAATAATTATCGACTAAGAAAGATTGCCACCAATTTGTGTAACACACAGTTTCACTTAATTTATCCAACTCTGAAGAACATGTTACACGCAAAATTGTTAGAAAATATGTTAGCATAAGCCTGTTCAACAAAATTGTATCTGCCTTTGATTGGCACAGCATCATTACTAGTAACACGTTTTTCAACCTTTTCCAGCAAAGACATTTGTTGATTTTTTTTTTTTTTTAGGATCCAGTTTAAGAGACCACTAGCAGCCAATCAACTAATGCAGAAGAAAATGGCTGACATGGCAACTGAGGTTTGTTAGTTTTGTGTTTCACCGAATGTTGATTTTTATTCTCTCAGTCACTCAAAATCAATCAATGGTCTGTTTCTCCCTAGTATTCCCTTAGCCTGCCGATCGCTTCGCTCTCCAAATTATTCTGTTTCGCGTTCGTTAAAATTCTTTTTCCGTCCTCGCCGGGAGCCTGTTCGCAGGCTAGTATTCCCTCACAATTTGTTAAAGGAGCTCAGTCACGGCATTTTGAGTTATTTTGGCCACGTACAAAATTAGGAAACCTGAAAATGGTAGGTTACTTAGATAGAGAAACACCGAAGAGACAATAATAAACCATGAAGGAACAAAGATGGTTAAGGATGGAGGAGATTAGCACGGATTACAAGCGAAGAACTTGAAAAATATAGGCTAAACTTTTGAAGATGTGCAAACCAGGTTAGCATCCTACTCAGACGTTCTTTGGTCTAACCGTAGAAATAAAGCTACGTTTTCAAATTTCTCCGGCCTAGTGTGGACGCTACCTGAGGTGTAGATGGTAAAGTTTGTCTTATTCATTGTTTTTATGTCAGATTGGCATTGGTCTTCAAAGTTGTCTCCATGTTGGACGACTCAAAGATGAGGGAAGGTAAGCTATGAAATGTAAGAAAAAGAAATTGTCGGGCTCTAGAACTTCCTTACGCACCCACCAAAAACAACGACCTCCGAAAATAGCGATCGTAAACTTCAGCTTAAAGATGAACTTATTTGTAAATCCCGGATGTAGAGACGTTCCAAAAGGGACGACTATTTATTTGGAAAAGAGAAGAGGGTGGTAATCCCATTTCTCCCAGTGAAAAAAATAGGCAAATTCCAGTTTCTATTTTACCCCTTCAGGCCCCTCTTGAAAACGTGGTCAATTCTATCGTTCTGCTCTCTTAAATGACCGCATTTTTTTTTATAAACAAAACTAGTTAAGTGTATGATCACACTTATCTGTCGGGGATGTGTATGTTTTCAAATTTGAAGCGATCCTTCCGAAAGTAGCGATTGGGAAAGGCTGCTAAATCTGACAGTAAGGACTTCTCGTTTCTTGTTCTTAGTTGTTCTGTGGGTGTTTTCAACGTTCTTTTTTTCTATTTCTCTTCAATTCAATTCAATATGTTTGATATTTCATTCAGTTTGAGAGAAATCTGATAGCTTACGTAACTTGGCAATTCTTCCCTCGTCACTGGAAAATATGGTCATGTAATTGTTCTTCTTTCTGCAAAACAGATACTGTCCAGAAATGATATCTATGATCAAACGCAATTCTTGTGGAAAAGCACTGGACATCGCACGAATGGCTAGAGATATGCTTGGAGGTAAGTTAATGTAAGACTTCAGCTTATTTTAGCGAGGTGTTTAGCTGAGTTGTTTACAAACGGGACAAAGCAAGTCGTTAGACTTACACAGACAAAGCTGTAACTAAACAGGCTGTCACACTATTTTCAGTAGAAGCGAAAATACATTAAATGTTAACTTGCCAACTTTTCAAGGTTTAGTTTAGAGCGTATCATCAATGACTGTGAGGAAACCGAAACTCAAGTAATCAGATTAGTGCCATTAGCATTAGCAGAGTCACTAGTAAATGAGTTCCATCACAGCAAACTACAGTAACTCAAGAATCAGGCAACACTCATTGGCTTCTTCTGATTGGTTGAAGAAACAGCTTGTTCGCCCTGATTAGTTAAAGCGAAGCAATGCGTACAAAGTTACAAACTTTATATCAGCCACGCCACGGGCAATACCACGGTCAATCAAAATATACCTCTGATCTAAGGGTGTGGCTCATGGGTGGGCTAACTAGGATATTAAAGTCAACTGTTT